ATACATACATACATACATACATACATACATACATACATACATACATACATACATACATACATACATACATACATACACACACCTATATTTGAACCCAAGGTGGATAAAAATGAATGATTTTTTAAAATCAAAATTATTTAAATTGTGATTTAAATCAGCGCGATTTAAAAATCAAATCTACCCGATCTGAATCCATACAAATGCACGGGAATGTCTATTGGGACTTTTCACTTTGGGAACATGGGAAGTTGACTTAGTGTACCAAGTTAAAGAGTTTGTCCATCTAATCCAGTTTCAGACTGGCAGCAGGTATCCAAGCAGTTCAGGACAAATTCTTTCCAAGCCGTGGAAACTGAAGTTTCTGATGGCAAAGCAGTTATTTTACCACTAAGGTAAATCACCTCTTTACAAGAAAACTCAGAGCATGTTCTTCAATAATCAAAAGCAGCAGGAACCATGGAGGACTTTCAGAGCTACAGCAGCCAAAGTAAGGAAACTGGATGTTAGGCATGAGAGACAGTAGCACAGCGGATCCAGACTCTTCTCTAATGAGGATTACTCTATCTTCTGCCATTCCTCTTTAATTTCTCTGTGGCCTTACAGCTTCGTTGCATGCCTCACACAAGCACGGCAGTGACAAATGATTTCTTCAACAGCAAAAACTTAGACCAGTTTTTCTACCAAGTACTTGGAGGATGGCTTGAAACTAAATGGACAACTTGAGTTCCAGTAGCTGTACCAAAATCAAACACCCACCTGTTCCTTGTGAATATGGAAAAATGCTAGATCTATATGGATATGGAGCAACATAGCTGTCTGCTGTGTCAGATTCTCCTTCTGGGTCTGGCCATGAGGACTGTGATTATGAATATCTGCTCTGTGACTTGATTTTATGGCTACATAAAATAAAGCTAGGGGGCAAGATAAGGGATATCAGTTAGCAGAGCGGGATGTATAAGTAACACAATTCCCAGACCTCAAACTTTCTCTCAGGAACACCAGAATAAAACTCAGCATGTGAAATATAACAACACATTCTTCAAAATGAACAGTCAAGGATGGAAAGTAGTAGGTAGAAAAGAATGTGTGAATACAGTACTAGCGGAAACACCATATGGACAATGAACACTCACCCACACAGTTCAACATAGAGTTCCCACATGGCCAAAACCTATGGTAAAACTTTCTCTCAGGAACACCAGAATAAAACTCAGCATGTGAAATATAACAACACATTCTTCAAAATGAACAGTCAAGGATGGAAAGTAGTAGGTAGAAAAGAATGTGTGAATACAGTACTAGCGGAAACACCATATGGACAATGAACACTCACCCACACAGTTCAACATAGAGTTCCCACATGGTCAAAACCTATGGTAACCTTTCCTCTCTTCGACTTCCATTTAGGATTATTTCTGACATTTGATTTGCCAACCTGTGTTTTAATACATAGACAAGGGGAAGCAATTTTCCCTCTCCCTCCCTCCCTCTCTCTCTCTTGAAAAAAAAAACACCTTGGAGATTTGCCAACCTGTGTTTTAATACATAGACAAGGGGAAGCAATTTTCCCTCTCTCTCCCTCCTTCCCTCCCCCCCCTCTCTCTTTTGAAAAAAAAAGCCTTGGACAATCCAATACAACAAGGAACTAGATACTTTTCAAAGTGTACAAAGGCATGCAATAAATGTTGCACCTAGCTAGCTCTCCATATTTCAACATTTCCCAAGATGCATTTTCAGTCAGACTCCATTTCCCGAGCATGTCTCTTCTAAATTAAAATATAGCAAAGTGGCCTCAGAGGCAGCCAACACCGGAGTGATAGAAATGACACTAGGATGGGGAAGGGGAACAAGCTCTAGCATGCAGCAAACGTCTCAAAACAAGAGTGGGAAGAATATTTAGAGGGAGGACGAGAAACAACACGACAGAGCTGCCAAAGCAGGAAACTGCTCAAAACGCCTGTAGCCTGCAGCCCTTCTAGCTCCCCACTTTGTGAACTAACCAGATGGCTTGAACAGCAAACAAGCCACTTGTAGCACACAAGAAGGGATGAGGTCCCTGGGAATCTGTACCCACTGCTCTGGGAAGAGAAGAAAGAGATATTTTGGTCTGACCCCTCTGCTCGTCCCAGTGGGAGTAAACAATAGAAAAAGTAAACCGCAAACATTACTCTTCTTTTCATTTTTCATCATAATAGCTGGGTATGCAATCCTTTGGCTGGAAGCAGCCTGGCTTTCTCCTTCTCCCTCTGGTTTGTTTCAATGAGAAGAGTGTAAGCTGGGAGCAAGCAGAAGACCTGGAAAGTAATCAGTTTCTTCTGGGATATTTTACTTGCACTTAAGGCTCAGCTTTTTTGGATGGAATTAGGATAAAGTCTTTATCAAAACAGTAACTTGAATGGAAAGGTGAGGTAAAATCTTATGCCTGTCTGTTCTTCTTTCTCTTATCATGGAAAAGTACTGAATCTTCCTCCTCATTTCCCAGCGCAATCATTCAGAACTAAGAGGACTTTCAATCCAAAACAGGGAAAGAGAGTACTTTTCCCACAGAGAGACTGCACAACTGTGTAGACACAATCTTTTCGGGAGGGCGGTCAGTGAAACCAAAACATTGGTACACTAATGTTTTGCTGAGTTTTTTTCTAATGTTTGCTAAGGTTTCTTTTTTCTCGGCTTTCTTTTTGTCTCCTCACCAGATGGCCTGGGGGTGGGGCCTATGGGGTGGGACATTCTGCTTTAAAAGAGCGTGTCCCAGGACCCTGGACCCTTTTCCCGAGGAAGCTGGGCTGAGGGTGAAGGCCAGGTTTGTTTGCATGGATGTTTTGCTGAGTTTTTTTTCTGGGGTTTCTTTTTGTCTCCTCACCACATGGCCTGGGGGGGCCTAGGGGGTGGGACTTTCTGCTTTAAAAGAACGTGTCCCAGGACCATTCTATCTCTGGCTAATATGGTAAATAGGAATCCAATTAGATTTGCATAAGCCTGGGAGGCAGGAAAGTTTTAAGGGTCAGATTATACTTCCACACTATTAAAGAGCAGGCCGGGTAGGTGGGGCTCGTCCGCCATGGAAGGCAGCCCATCTAGGAGAAGGAAAACTCCAATTTCAAACCTCCACTGCCTTGTGGCTATATTCACTCATGGAAAAGGCTTCAGGAGTTAACCTAGAGGCAAAATCCAGAGCTGGAGTCCTGAAGGCAGTCCGTGTCATTCTGCCAACTCCTGCGACATTGCTGGAACCAGTTGTATTGGCTCTTGCCTTTCCATTGGACCATTTCAGCAATGTGGAGAGGGGGAATCTGCTGCTTGGGTACAGCCTATCCTCCATATTACCTTACCCAGGCTTCATGCTCTGGAGAGGACACTCCTCAATTCAGAGCATGTTACCATAGTCTCTCGAGATTGAAGGATGCCTATGATGATGGTCAGTGAAACACAAATCAATGAACTAGGAACAGGAGAAGAACATCTTAAGACACTAGACTATATCAGGTTAAACTAGCAAGAGAAAAGCTACAAACTCTGCAGTTCTTAAACTCATCCTGTGTTTTTTTGTGTGTGAATTTGATGTTATGTACAGTAATAATAAAAAAATATTTTTAAAGAAGGCTGACAAGACTTTCTCCCATGATCAAGAATGCTAAACAGAGTGCTTGTTTTTATTCTGCAAGTAACAACAGGATTTTAAACTAACTGATGTGGACTAATGGATGCAAACACACTTGGCAATAATAAGTGACCTACACAAATCTGCACACCCTACTGCAAAAGCTACTGATCAGTGTATCAGGATGAGGGAAAATAAAACCCTGTGAAGAGCTTCACTCAGATCAAATGGATATTTGTACAGAGAGCAGGAGGTCTCAGATTCTGGCTTATTGAGCTTTGTAGACAAAACCGTTTTGAAAACAGGGACATACTGCCTACTCAGACTCCAACCAAGCCCAGAATGTCAGCTGATGTAGGTTGATTAGTTGCTCTCTAGCCTGCAGCATTTCAGATCTATACAACTGCAACTTCTAGCACTGGCAAAAATGTGACTGTAGCATGAACATCAACACAGTTGGAGGGCACCTGTTGGGTCAGGCTTCTTTCTATACAAGCATGTGGCCAATATTTGCAATACAGTCCTTCATACTTCCACAGGTGATATCAGCACACTATCAGAACTGAACTGAAGTCTTGTAGATTTTGATTTACACCTAATGATGGCTCACATCAACTTG